GCAATACTTTAAACAGCGTCCATCTTGCTGTGGAAGCAATGCAGAAAACTGTGGATGAACACAAGAAAACGATGGAATTACTGCAGAGTGATATGGTAAGGAGGCCCAGAAAGTCAGCATGCTTCTGCGCACCCTATGTTATGTAAGAGTCATGATTCCAGCTTTCCACTAATCTGAAAAGGCCCTGCATGCATCTGTTCAAAAATCTAATAAGCAGTATACATTGATTGTTCTACAATTTGTTAGTAAACCAATTATGGTAGATAGAATTAAAAGCCAAGTCTTTTGCAAACATAGTACTGGAGGAGGTAGGTAATAAGACACAGTTCCTGAGGATGGAATGGGTAGGACAGAAAATGGAAAAGAAGGAAAGGGAAGGAGTGTCTCATTATTTGTTGCTACATAACAAAGCTCCCCAGAACTTTGTGGCTTAAAACAAGTAATTATTTCTCATTATTCTGTGCATCAGGAATTTCAACAAGGCACTTAGACTCCCAAATGCTGAAACATGTGCTCGTGGATGAAAGGCTGTCTAGAATGTTCTAACTCCAGCCAGGCTCTCAGTTAAATAAATGCAGCCTACAACACATGGAACAGAACACCACCCCCATCTCCCCAAACCCCCAGCTGAGCCCAGTCAACCCACAGAATCATAAGAAATACTTAATTGTTGTTGCTTTAAGCCACAAAGCTTTGGGATAATTTGTTGGGCAGCAACAGATAACTGACAGAAGCAAACCCCTCTAGTGCCCAGGAATTGTTTTCAAATGTCTCAGGACCAGTTAGTGCTGCTGCAGATGTAAGCTGTCTGCAGTCATTTGGAGGCCTTAATCAATCACTTAATGGGTGACAGCCCCATGAAGTATTTATGAAGGGTAAAAAAGGATGGTGTGGCCCTTGCCATCTTGCCAATTTCAGATGAGTTATGTGTAACTCATCTGAAATCGGGACAATTCAAGGCACACAAAAGTTCCCTAGTCTCTCCGCCAAATTCTGGATGTGCCCCCCACCCCCACCTGCTCTTTGCAAGCTTCAGAATTCCAAGTTTAATTGGAAAGTTTGTACCAAGGAGACCTGAGCTATACTAGAGACCTCTAGAGCTTTAGCTATACTAAAGAGCTCTATACTAGAGGTTCTGCATTTTCTTCAAAACTAACATGCCTCCCTGTTACTTAGTGGGACTAGCCCAGAGGAAAAAACACTGATCTGGGTGTCCAGACCCCTGATTCTGGTTCTTACTGCCACTGAGTAACTGTGTGACCCATAGTAACAAACCCCCTCTAATTCAACAGTTCTTTCATGATTTTAATATATTGATCATGCTCTCAAGTAATTTTTTCTAAAATAATTTTTCCTAACTAAAAAATTCCTGCTTTTTAGAACCGTGAGTTTCCCCCCAACACACACACACCATTCTCTCCTCCTCTTCTCTTTATTGTTGCCTTTTGGTTTTCTTACAAAAGCAGACTGACTTCAGCTATCAAGGAAAACAGTTTATTTTCACCAGTTGCATTGTTATAATTAAATCTGCCACTTTTAAACTTCCATAGTTGCCAATAGTAATTCTCCTACTGCCATCCGTTATGCTAGCTAAGTCATAGTTATGGGCTCTGAAGGATTAAGCCATGCAATGTTTTCCTCACTGAAGGAAAGGTGTATATAAACATGTTATCCTTCAGTCTCTGCAAAGAAACTTGATCAGTGGGAAGGGAATGGAAAAGGAAAGATAATCCTAAAACATTAGTCTTACTTAGCACATGCTATAAAGGAAAAACTAATAATGGGTATGATTGATGGTTATGCTAAATGCCCAAAGCCTGTGGTTACATGACTCGCTGCCCTTTTAATGTCAGAGCTCTTGAGTCCAGTGGAAACAATGACACTGTCCCAGGTTGAGACTAAGTTGGTCCCTGGAAAGTTACAGTGATGCTGTAGTTTCTTTGGGAGTACAAGCAATGGGGCAAAGAAGAAATGTTTCTAGAGAGTTCATTCCATTAAGAGATTGAGAAACAGACTAGGAGGATCTGAGTTCCCTGAGGTAATCTAGGTGCTGCTGTGGGGCTCCAGCTCATACTCAGGCTGGGCTCTCTCAGAACCTAGCATAGGACTGGTTAGCCTGTACGTTCCCAGACAATACTTACTGATTAATATGTGGATGCATTCTGGGGGAGGCTAGAATGTTCTAGGACCATCTCAGTTAACTAGACCTAGTAATTCCTTGTTGTCTACAATAACCTTCTTTCCTCTTAACAGAATCAGCACTTCTTGAAGGAGACTGCTGGAAGCAACCAAATCATTCCATCACCTTCAGCCACATCAGAACTTGACAATAAAACCCACAGTGAGA